CTGGGCTCCACTTTGCTGAGAGTTTAGCACTGATTTTGAGACCAATTCTAGTAAAAGAGCTTCTCTCTCTTGCCCCCATGGAGAGTCCCCAATTGGCTCACTTGTTTGAATAATTGGGTATTTATGATATTCTTTTTTAGAGAGACTGTCTTGATAACCTACCCAAGAGCTGTAATCTTATTTCTGAACCATAGCACTATAGCTGGAATCCTAGTCTGTGCTGCCTAATCTTCCCATGTGTGGGCTGGCCGAGATCCCCACACTGCTGGTCCCGACTCATTAAATGTTGGTCTATCCTTTTGGTCATATTTTGCAGTTGAAGTCACCCTGCAAGTCCATTTACTTTCCAAGTCCTTGTTCCCTCGAGGATGTCCAGGATTGGACAAACTCAAGCTCTTACTCTGATGTGGGATAGTGGAGGTTTAATCCACCTCCTTATATCTCAACCTTCAAAATTACAAAAAATCCATCCAATTATGTTAAAGACATACAGGACCTCCGTTTACCAAAGATAAATATTTGTAAATGCCTCAGGCATCGAAATAAATTCTAAACATAAAAGAGTATCATTTCATCAAATTTGAGAACCTTAGGGTTTTGAAATAGATTTTGAAAAATGAATTGCTGGGCCAGTATAAACTGAACAAACATTTCTTCATTAGATGCTATATGCAAGGCCTTTTTCTAAGCTCTAGGGTTGCATCAGGTGACGAAGCTCTTCCCCTCAGAGACCTTCTATTCTAGTAGAAAGATTAGCTAGTAATTTTGCAGCTATTTGGCAGAGTCATCTCAGCAAATTAGAGGAAATGGTTTAGGCTCTAAATCTGAGGTGTGGCGAGGATAGTTCCATGCAACTCACCAGATACTTACCAAAAGAAATTTATACCCTCTGAGAACCAGTAGATTCTTAATGACTTATTGGACAAATACTGTGATTCCTCGAAATGTTGACTGTGACTACAGGATCATCCTTACCTGAGTCTCACACGTTTCTCCATCTTTGACTCTCACAAAAGTCTCCTGTCCCTTTTCCCTCTAATATCCGTATATTGGATATATTCGTATCCTCAAATATCCATATATTGCAAGGCTCACAAGACAACAGGCAAGCTTTCTATTCTGAGGATCATCCAGGCCTCTGTGTCTTTCACCCCTTCCCCTAGTTCCTGACCTTTGGGTCACTCTCCTTCTTTAAGACTTCTTCATAGATTACAAAGGGAGGAAGGAAAACTTGGAAACTAACATTCAAACTAATGTTTCTCTTCCATTAACTTCTCTAGTAAATTCTTAGGAGGAGATAAGGTTATTTTTATTTCCAATTCACATCATTAGTGTGGTAATATCACCTTTTCTTCCTAAAAGGAACTCATAGGCAGACAGGCAAATACATGAACATGAGCCTGCAGGAGCCACGACTACAGTGGAGATACGGTATGTTTTTCCAGTAGTCATGCTTCCTTCCACTGAAAAGTTCCCCAAAAGTATATGGCAAGGGTCACATTGTTGCATAAAGAACTATTATGAGTTTTTCAATGTAAAATATGGAACCCACATCTGAAGGGTTCATTTCCTTTTCAAAAACTAACTGTTAGGGCTTCCAATGTGTATAGATTTCTCCCACCATTCAACTTGTACAACCCAGACTAGCCTCTGTGGGCCCAAAGGGATGTCCCAGGTACAATTTGCAAACTCATAGCAGAAGGAGTAGAACCAGCAACAGATCCTCTGAAAAAGTCTGGCAATATTTATCTAAGGTAGTACCATTTTTCAGCATCTTTTGCCTCGCCTCCCTACTTCCCTGAGTTAAAAACACTCTTTTTAGTAAGTCTGACAAGATAGTAACAAGCCCACAAGTTCATTTTCAGCAGTAGAGGATTCACAAACAAGATGTTGACAGGTTTTTATGATTACAGATTCCAAATATCCTGGTCTCACAAAAGTGTTCATAAAGATTGATAGATATTATAAAAAGAAGTAAGAAATGGAACCAAGAGATATAAATAGGCTTTTTCATTAGAGTGAATGATGGAAAGTATTGACCTCACCTAGCGGTACTCTTCCTTTTGTGAGCTTTTTATTTCATTGTCTTTGACCTGCAATCACGGTCTTTATAAGAAATAGTTAGCAAAAGAGTCTGAAAGGTAACTAAGAAGCCAGGTGGCTGGAAATAAATGTTTCCTCAAGCATTTATTACCCTTCAGAAACGTCCATCAGCTGAAATTTTCGTCCCGTAGAACCACTTAAGCAGTGCAGAGGAGAGAAGCGGGTAGCCGTTATTAATTTTTAAGGCTGGCTGACAGCTTTCAGTCCAAGAATAAGGCTTAGCTTTGCATTTTGAATAATGCAGAGATTTTCATTAGTTAGAATAGGAATCGAAATGATAAATGATATATTGTCTGCCAAAATACTGTGACATTACAGAAAATATTTGCAGTTACCTTTCAGAATAAGCTTTCCAGAAGTATACTTAGACAAATTGGAAAGGTACCAGTACTGTTGTCTTATTTTGTGTTTAAATTTTGGAAAAACAATTCAAAGGACACATCTTCTTGACTGTGGGTTGGTAATGTCATGTCCAAAGGGCAGTTCATTATTGCACCTAAAAGCTAAGTGTAGGCACAAATTGTGCTAGCCCACGAGATCATTGCAATCACTTTCAGACATTTCCTTTTGCTCCCATCTGCCTTCTGAAGACTCTGGGACAATTTAATTACAAATGCACTTTTGATTCCTTCTTCTTTCAATAAAAAATGTAAAATTACTCTCATTGGAGAACTATCAGACTAAAAGGTTTGTGATTGCTTTCCACTGTCATCTCTCTTCCAGCAGATTATCATGTCAGGTTGGTCTAGGGCATATTCTTTTTTTTTTTCTGAGGACTCAAGACTCTTTCTGACTTTAAGTATTATTTGAATTGGTGGTAACACAACTACTATATCCAGATGTCTCTTGGTAATTTAATGTATGGCCTTAGAAACAAACACTAGAATTAAACCATTAATAGAATAGACTGTTAGCAGCTGCTTCAATCCCAATTTGATGCACATTAAAATAGCTGATTCAGAGATTTTATAGAGAAACTTAAGTTAATTAAAGACACCAGGGTCCACGGAACCACAATATCTGCCAGTAGCAATACAGTCCATATACACTGATGTTATTTCTTTAAAAGAAGGCAGCTGGAAGGTCAAAAAACGTTTACCCGATTTAGATGAGCATTTGATTTTGCGTGTCGTTTTCTATTTCCCAGTTTTGCTTAAAATCACAAGCCTCAAAGAAAAGCTTTTCTATATTCTATTAGACAAAAGAAGGCTATTGATTAATCTGTCTTTTCTCACACAATAAGGTAGGATGGAGCCTCCAACCAGTTCAGTGAGAAGAAAAAGAAAGAGGATGCTTTGGTACCTACTGGAAAATACCATAAGGGATTCAGCTGAGATTTGTCATTCAAAGTACTAATTTTTTGAAGTGTTTAATCAGCCCCATTTCTAATAATTTCCTTTAGGTTCCAGTTCCAGTTAAAATTGTTTGTGCTTAGCCAGTTGTTTTTGGCTGTGCAGCCTGTCTTAGCCGTGAGTGGGAAGCACACTGCTGATTTTCTGTACATCAATTTTGTTAGATTGGGGAACTACTAATGAAATTCCTGAAAATATACGTTGTGAAAGTAACCTCATAGTGGGAAGTGCTGCCATTATAACTGCACTTTTGAAATGTCAGAAACTTTCAGGCTCACCTAGCATTAAAAAAAAATACCTGCAGGCAAGCATAAAAGATATGATGCAGTATGTTTGCGTGTTTTCACTGCCTGATGAGTTGAATCTCAGGGTCTAATATTTCTTCCGTGTGGTCAAATAAATTGAGATGAGAGCTCATTGTCAACTGGATTCAAGTTCATATATCATGAACTGCATCATTTGGTGGGAAGAATTCATCAGATCCCTCTGGAGTTGCGTTCTAGAAAGAAGTTATAATGGCCAGCTAGACACTCACCCGTATTTTGTTAAAGAGTCAAATTTTCAACTCAGACGGTAGATGCAATGACATAAACAAATCTCCAGGATGGTTGGGTGTGATTTGTTTATCTATAATAATTTAATCTTTTAATAATTTAAAATTTTCTTTGCTATTTCATGAGCCCATAACAGAGTTGTGCCAAGAAGTGCCTTAGACATTAGCAAGCACTCAATAAATGCCAGTTGTTGACTTATGTTGTTAAATCTCCTCCCACGTAACTTCAGGTCACATGTGTCTTTCTTTTGAGTGTTCTGCTAAAACATGACTACTTAGCTTTTTAGAGTCCACTAATTCATTTTCAGCATCTCTTGTTTTAGGGTTTTTTTATTGAGGAAGATTAGCCCTGAGCTAACATCCACCACCAATTCTCCCCTTTTTGCTGAGGAAGGTTGGCCCTGAGCTAACATCTGTGCCCATCTTCCTCTACTTTATATGTGGGACGCCTGTCACAGAATGGCTTGGTAAGTGGTACATACATCCACGCTCAGGATACGAACCTGTTTTTTTTATTTGCATCTCACCTTGAAAGACGTCATTTTTAGCTTTCTTAGAGCATTTTATATAGTTTATATACATATAAATCTTGCTATAATGTATTGTTGTACTGACGTTATCGCTATTAGTTAGACTTCAGTATTCTGTAGGCAGCATCCTTACAATTGGATGGATAAAACAACCCCTAATCTTCTACTCAGCATAATATGGAGGTCTCTGATGAAGAGTTGTTAAGACATGATATGCCAGCAATCGGTGGGCTTCTGTGTCTTTGGGCATCCTCCCATGAAACTTGGATGGAGAGTTTCAATATTTAGTGCCATTTTATTTGTGTGCAGTTTAGTTTGTAAATGTTTTTAATGTAACTTTACTATGCTGAGTTCAATCATTTTAAATTCCAAATATGAAAGATTTTACAGCCCTGTAATGATGAGTTTTGGAAGCTATATCTCATGCAAAATAAACCCTCAAGCAGCTATAACAGTACTTACAAGTGTCCTCTTCTTCCATGAAAATACTGATCACATAACAGGCATACACAAAACCAACCAACTGCAAAGAAGAAAAAAAACGTACTTTAAGACTCAATGTTAAATGACCATAATTAAAGAGCCTATATAATCCAATAGATAAAGATAAAGAATATATGGTAGTAATGTCTATGAATTTGTAATAGAAAAAACCTTGCTTTTAAATAAGAGCTCTGATTTTAACAAGGCTTTTCATTTCTACTTAGCTTTAATAGCTTTCTAAAAAAATATACAGGAGTGGGGAAAAATCAATTTCTAGATGTTTCACTTAGATTTTGATTTGAGATTTACAGTTCTTATATTTTAAAGTTACCACAGATTATTGAGAACATATGTTTTTTAAGTTTTAACTATTTATAGAGCAATTTTTAGCAGCACTCATTATTACTACAACTCTTTTAATGTTTAATAGCCACAAAAGGAATCAAAATACGTTAATTATAAGTTAAATACCAATCACCTTCTTAATTATTTAAAATGCTCTGAGAATGTAAATTCTATTTAAATACTAAATTGTTTTGTTAATTATATCATAAGAAAATGCATAAACTTCCAGGTCATTAGTCATAAAATAAAACAGAAGAGATTATTTATACTTTGGATATTAAAGTTAAAAAAAATACTGGTGTTGGAGTCTAGGCTTTCTAGCTTTTCATATTGTTTTCTGCGCTTATTATACTGAGAAGATGATTTCTATTCTATGGAGCCAGAGACACCGCAATTCCTGGAAGACAAAATTGTCAATGAATCTAGTCTAGGCTAAAATTACTCTGATAAGCACTTTGATGAAAAATAGATACCTCAAAAGCTGTTATATAGTCTGTCTTCTCGCCTGTCTCTCCATTATTAAAGTCTGTCCCCCTTATAAAATAACAATTGGAAAGGAAACTTCTGATAGTCCCAGCATTAAAAGCTGAAGTTCCCAACACGGATAACAATATACTTGGTGTTTGTGACTGCCCATGTCGATTGGGAGCCTAAACTCTGAACTCGTAATCTACCTCAAGACTGTGTAGACTAAGGCTAAGAAGTCCCTGAGAGAGGGAGAGGTCAGGGAGTGAGAAGGTCTTAGAGCACCAGGGTGCTAAAGGCTTCTTTCTCCCATGGGGTGCCTCTCCTCATCTCAAACCACGTGAGGGGGTACTTCAGAGGACCACTTGAGGAGCTTAACACGTTTCTTGTAATTTGGGGAACACAGCAGCTTGGCACCTGCCTCACACTTGGAAAAGACAAAAGGCAGGGGGCTGAGGCTAAAAGGGCTTTTGGTGGCAGAGTGTGAAGAGATGGTTAGGTGGGCATGGACGGACAAGGACGTGTGTGTGTGCCCTTAGCCTAGGACGTGAGGCCTTCTGAACGGAGCTGGCTGTGCCCTTCTGGAGTAGGACCCCACCCAAGAGGACTTGCTGCCAGGGGCAGGTGGTCTTAGAAGAATGATGCTGGTACTTTGGATAGAGAAGGCTGGCAGGAGTGTTAAGTGGCTAGCCAGAGAGGCTGATCATCCAGAGAGACAGGTGAGCATGCTAAAGGAGGGATGGGGTGGGTTTCTGAAGAACCCACAAAAGCACCCCACAAAAGGAAGGATCCCCATTTGGGATCTGTTACAACCACAGAGTGCCTCCCGCTAGATTACAACTGAACTAGCCACATAAGACCTTGTTCCTTGTTTCTTCTTCCATGATTCCTCCTTCCACTTTACCACTGGAATGACCCCAAAGAGCAGCTAGTGAGAGCAGAGAGGAATGGAGTGGGAAGAGGAGAAAGTAGCTATGAGTCCCTTCTTCATTGCAGATCTGCAAGATGAAATCAGGCCCAACTCAAGGAAGAAAGTTTTTAAGTGGATGAGGGTTTGCACTGGCCTGGCCTGGGCTATTTAATATCAATGAGGGGCCAAAAGAGCTAAAAGTTCTGCCTGAAATGTGATCCAAAGGGTGAGATAGACTGAGGCCATAGAGTGTACCTGAAGGGGCAGTGGAGAAAGAGTCAAACTGTCTTTTGATGGTGTTTACTAACTCCAGCTCATTCAATAAACCAGTTGCATACAGAAGAAAGAAATGGCTATGATTCCATAACTAAGAACCTCCTAATGGATTTTTTTCCAGTCCTTTTTCTCATAGTTGCCATATACCATAGTTATACTCTTATGATCCAAGTCAATACTTTTCATAAGCTTCATTATTAATAACTACAAAATTTGCATAAGTTAGACTGAAATGTATTTCAGCAATCTCCTATTATTGACAGTTGTCTTCAAAGTTTTCATATTATAAATTCTATTATGATGAATAATCGTGTTTTTCTTGTATTTTGGATTATCTGATTCCCAGAAGTGCCATAAGTATTTTTATGCCTTTTTCACACTTTTGTAAATTGCTTTTCAACAGGTTTGTATCGCCTTTTAGCTTACTACAGCAGTGAATGACAATGCTTGCTTTATCATACCTTAGTAGCATAGGATTTTTCATTTAAACAGTATACACTAGTATAATAGACAAAATGACATCTCTTCATTTATTTAATTTACAATAGTTTTATTTCATCTGAAACATTTTCATATTTTATCACCCATTTATATTTTTTCTTTTCTGAATTATCTGCAGAAATCCTTTGCCCATTTGTTAATTTGATGTTGTTTTCATTATTTTGTATGAGGTCTTATGGAGTACATATAATATTTGCTGCAATTTTTTTCTTTGTGTCAGCAATTAACAGTGGTGGCTTTAGGGGCGGGCCCTGTGGCTGAGTGATTTGGTTCGTGCGCTCTGCTTCCACGGCCCAGTGTTCGCTGGTTCTGATCCTAGGTGCAGACATGGCCCCACTCATTGAGCCATGCTGAGGTGGCGTCCCACATGCCACATCTAGAAGGATCCACAACTAAGAATATACAACTATCTATGGGGGACTTTGCGGAGAAAAAGGAAAAATAAAATCTTTAAAAAAAAACAGTGGTGGGGCTGGCCCCGTGGCCGAGTGGTTAAGTTCGCGCGCTCCCGCTGCAGGCGGCCCAGTGTTTCGTTAGTTCGAATCCTGGACGCAGACATGGCACTGCTCATCAGACCACGCTGAGGCAGCGTCCCACATGCCACAACTAGAAGAACCCACAACGAAGAATACACAACTATGTACCGGGGGGCTTTGGGGAGAAAAAGGAAAAAATAAAATCTTTAAAAAAAAAAAAAAGAAAAGAAAAAAACTGGTGGCTTTATAACTGTGGTGGCTTCATAATTCATTTTCTTGGTAAACTATATATTGGAAAGCATCTGCCAACAAATTACTTTCAAGTTTCACTCCAAAGGGCTCTCCCTTAGGGGTCTGTGTGTGTGTGTATGTAAATTAAGAACTTTCTTGTATTAATTTTCTATTGTTGCTGTAACAAATTACCAAGAAGTGGATTAAAACAATGCAAATTTACGATTTTATAGCTCTGGAGGTCAGAAGTCTGAAATGGGTCTCCTTGGGCTAAAATCAAGGTGTCAGCAAGGCTGCACTCCTTCAGGAAAATCTGTTGCCTTGCCTTTTTCAGCATCTAGAAGATGCATGCGTTCCTTGGCTTGTGACCCCATTTTTCTGTCTTCCAGGCCAGTAGTCCGCACGCTGCCCTGACTCTGGTTCTCCTACTTCTGCCACCTTGTTCCACTTTTAAGGACCATTGTGATTACATTAGACCCATCTGGATAATCCAGGGTAACTTCCTCAATTTAAGGTCACCAGATTAGAAACCTTAGTTCCATCTGCAACCTTAATTCATTCCCCTTTGGAGATTAGGCATGGACCTCTTCAGGGGACCATTATTCTCCCTACCACATCTGTGAACTTGTATTCTAAGTTCTCAGTAGGCTCTCTGCACAATTTAGGGCACAGTAGAGAAGGAAACAATATTATTTAAATTTTAATGTATAAAGTACAATCATAACATACCGATTTTTAAAAAAATGACTTTAAAGGAAACTTTGAAAAGTCAAGTTGCATATAAATCCATTCCTCTCAGTAAATGCCATTTGTCAACACTGGGGAGAAAACTAATATCATCAATTTGGTGTTTGTACATCTAGTCTATATTTTTATACCTTTGCTATAAATATGCATCTACAAGCAGAACATAATTGTTTTAAAAAGCACTTATTTTGAATAGTTTCCTCGACAATTTAAATTTTGAGGGTATTTTCTTTTAAATTTGATCAGATCATCATTGCTTTTATTTTGTATTGTAAATGACAGCTCACACCAGGAGGAGGATATATGTCAGCTCTGCCATTTAAAAGTTTTTTCCATGCATGTATCCGTAATGTTTTATCTTCAATCCATGGATTCTTGCAGGAAATGTTCTAAACCACACAACCATTTTGTGAGCATTAGTTTTCTTTAAAAGAGGCAATGGAACCTGTAAACCTACTTACCCCAGCACATAAAGATTGTAATTCTTCTCAATACACTCAACATGCACACCACCGTTAATTCCATCACACCGAGGAGCCCCTGCTGCCTCATGAGAGATGCTAGTACCTCAGCAACACATGCGACTTCCTAACATGTAGTCCTAGGGAGGCTACCAGTGTTAAACCACATGTTAGATATTGTTAAAGGCCAATTTTTCTTAGGTTTTTAGGTAAAATAAATAGAAATAGAAGTAATATTTTCTCCCCAGGCTCCCATGGATTATCTGGTTCACTCCTTTCAATACACGTGTTCTACTTCAGGTTATTATATGTACCTCTTTGTATGGATATGCCCTACTTTGGAGAACTTACTTAAAAGATGACCCAGTTCAGTGAGTTCAGGTGACATGAGTTCTAGTGACATAAACATAGATCAGATTTCTTTTGAACCTTAAAGAGCTAGACCAAGTGACAGCCAAACAGATCTAAAGTCTCCTCCTATCCAGTGTGACCAAGATGATTGATATTCTGGATCTCTTCCAGCCACACTGCAGGGAGATGGGTAGCAGCAGAAGGGATGAATCATGTAATAACTGAAAAATTTCTGAACTTATTTTGTTACTTTGCTTACAGAGAGAAATTTAGATGC